AAACCATGTCACACAAGGCTTTGTCCAACCGGACCTTAAACACCACCAGGGATGGACCATTGCTGGAATTTCCTTAAAATAACATGGATATGTAAGGCTTTAAACCCTTTTTGGGTTCACCTTTAGATTAGGTGAAAGGGCTTTTCCATGACCAAAGCTAGCTACATATGAGAGTAGGCTAACAGTATTTTCCCAAAGGAAAATTCTGTGGATTAATATGTTTATGAGTGAGAGGGATTGTATTAATGCTGCCTGTAAATGGATAAAGTACTTAAAGAAGTGCCTTGACCTCTCCCTGTGTTGGGTGAAGTGACTGTGTATGAGTTTGGTTGGTTTGTGAAATGTTTTGCGACCACCAAGGGATGCAGTTTTACAACTGTAAGCTACGACTGCGGTTACAGGGGAAGACTGTGGGAACATTTATCCAATTTATACATGACAGAACCAACAGTAAGAACCTTTTACTGAGTGCAGAGTTTACTTTAGCACATGTAACATATGTTCATTCATAAAAGACTTCAAAATTGAAAGGGTCTTACTCTGGATCAAGCAGAGTTGTTCAAGGAGTTAACTCATTTCCTCTGCAATGTTGTAGCTGTATTTTACTGTGAAAACTCTGGTTCTTCCCCCTCCTTTTATATATCATTCAATTAATTTCATCCCTCAGACAGCATGGTAAATAGATCAGTCTTTTTTAATCACAATATTTTATCTCACCATTTTAATACACTATTACATATGTTAGGTACCAAACTTCGGTTGGATTTTCTTTATTTTTACATGTGTTAGGCATGTCAGAGGTGTTATTAAAAAAAAAAGAAGTTACTTAGTACACTTAGATGTACTGCAGGGACAAAAGGGCATAAGAAGCAATGGAAGCATGACATTGCTTATATCTTCTCCATTGGCACTGCCTGGTGTAATGCACATTGCATTTGTCCTCCCTTTAATCTCTTGTTCTCACTGTGTTATTCCATCACTTTTCTTCTGCTCCTTATTATAATAAGGCTCTCCATATGTCAACTGGAAACTGAGATGTAAAATACACAGCCCTGGTTTGATCCATGATGGCTCTTCAACCTGGAAAGTGGTACACATGGGATTTGAAAAATAGTTCTACTAAAAAATAAAGCCACCAATGACAATTATGACTGATGTATTTTAGGACGAAGATGTTTTCTGACTAAGCTGCTAAGCTGTTTAATGAAGCAAACAACCTGGAACTACAGGGGTGGGAAAGAATGCTAAGCAATCTGGCAGTGGTGGAAGAGGCTAAAAGAGGACACAAAACTGATGGGGGACTGCCACTATCAAACTTTGCTATATAGCACTCGAACCCTGAGTCTTCAAGTTTTACCTGAAGATGTGCAGGCATGCATCTTCTACCGTACAGAAACTGAGAGTGAATTGTGACCCTCACTGACTTCATCTCGAAGGCCTGAAAGTTCCCTAGTGGAGACAGCTGGTTTGAAACTGTTTATTTCCACTTAGTGGGTGCTTTACATCACTCAAATGCAGCAAACAGGACACCCAGTGGCACCGCTCAGTATGTCACAGCAAGACCAAAGCGCTCTGATCTGGGCTGCTCCTGCTTTTCAGGCAACACCTGAGCCCAGGACTGAGAGCTGCTACAGGGGAGAGATCTTAGTCCTGAGACACAGGATGTGTTGAGGATGTCCAAAATGGTCTTCTAATTTGTGTTGGGGCTTGAGCTTCCCCTTCTCCTCCTCTCTTCTCCTTGCCTTTTACCTTCCACTGCCATTAACTCCGCTTTTGCCCTTTGACCACTATAAATCAAAGGAGTGTCACTGACATGGGGAATGAGGTGGGAGCAGTAGACAGCAATGACCTAAGCGTTGCTTTGCACGCTTTATACTTTTTACCTGCAGTCACATTGCAGTAGCTCTCATTTACTGGCTTTCCAGTCTCCAGCAGCAAGAAAACGTGCCCCAGGCACATCTCTTATTAATATAAACAGTGTGAGACACAGTCTGCCATACCCCACTTAATATTCAACTGTTCTCTATTTAGTGATAACTTTAAATACCAACTGACTCAGATGTGTTTCATAAAACACCCCTTCCGTGGAAAAACTCACGGTGTCAGCTAAGGCTTAGTGTGTGCAGGATTTGCTTCTCTTGCCTTATGCATTGATGCCAGAGAGACACTGATGCCAACTGACAGGCTAAGGGATGGGTGCTGCTGTGTCTGGTTTTATTCAGTTTTATTGCTCCAAGCCTGTGCTGGGCCAGGGGCAAAGCTGGTTTGCTTGGGGTTCTCGTAATATGCTACCTTTCACTCTGCTTTCCAGAAAGAAAAAATGCAATGGCTCTCTCTTCTTTGAACATTGTAAGAGTGTATCCATAAATATGAGCTAGCTCCAAGATACATAAATATTTCAAACATAAACATATTTTAAACTTAAGTGTATTTGATATGTGACCTAAGTACATTTGAAACTATCACATAACAGTGCAGCTGCTATGTTAATGTATCTTATCAAAGGGGAGACAAGGTTGAAAAATATTGTTGATCACAATGTTTTCTGACCCTGGGAAGGCTCTTCTCTGACTCTAAATGTCATTGTTATCACCCAGGATTCACAAGAAGTATCTCACATATAAAGAAAGGCGACTGAAAAGGGTTGCTGTGATTTTTCATGAGAAATTTCTTGTGACATGCACTTTGTAGAAAAACAACTTTCACATTTTCCTCTGTCAGTGACAGGGGGAGAAAACTGGTTGAAAATGAAAAATGTTCTATCAAAAGTGTCCAGGTTTATCTTTCAGGCATGCCTACAAAACCTAGGGAATTTTATGTGGAAGGAAAATATTTGTTTATTTATTTATTTATGTTTAAAAACATTATTTCCATCCAAAAGAATCAATATTTTCAATATTGGTTTTGCATATCAACTCTAAACACAAAGCTATTGTCTAGTGACAAAACTATGTATCTGCTCTTACTAGTGGCTTTTGCATGTGGCAAGGAATGAATAAACAACTTTGATAAAGAAACTAATTTGAGTTGCTTAATAAAACCACTCTTAATGATATTCATGTGTATTCAGTCTTCTCATTATTTTAAATTAATGCAAACAAAACATGGCAGAGAGTTTTTTTGTAAGCTTTTAAAGATAAATAGATACAAGGTACAAGAAATTGGAACAAGCATGAATTAAAATGCATGGAGGCATGTGAATATATATTGTTACATTATACAGTGTCATAAAACTCCAAGGAAAAACCTGAAGGAAAAAAATTAGGACAAATTTGTCAATATGGGAATGGGAATGAGACTTTAATCTCATTACTAAATTCATCTATTGGCTTATTGCTAAGACTCATTGTCAGAAGGAATTAGCCTTCCACAAAGCACTTAAATATGTAACAATATCACATACACTATTACACATCTGTGTATGAACTGCATGTAGGAGTTCAGACCTACATGCCTAGGAACATTTAAGGCGGAATTAAGAGGAACTAAGTAGAAAACCAGCAGTAGAACCGTATTGGCAAGAGAATCACTCTGTGCTCATAACACTCAAAAATGACCATACAGCGCCCTGCAACGTGCTTGGGAAGTTGGCCCATGTCTTGCATGGTCTCTTGGGCAATAACCCAATGTTATTAAAACCCAGTGGTTTTAAACTAAAAGAGGGTCAATTCAAACTTGATATAAGGAAAAAGTTTTTTATGATGAGGCTTGTGAAACACTGGCACAGGTTGCCCAGGAGGTGGTAGACGCCCCATCCCGGAAACATTCAAGGCCAGGTTGGACAGGCCTTTGTGCACCTGGTCTAGTGGAAGGTGTCACCACTCATTGCAGGGAGTTGGAACTAGATAATCTTTAAGGTCCCTTCCAACCCAAACCATTCTGTGATTATATGATTATATGAACCCTAGTATGGTCCTGATAGCACACAGAAAACATGGAAATATCCCCACAAGAGGCAGGCATGTGCCAAGGGGAGTGCAGCTCTGCTGAAAACCCAGCTGCTCAGGTCACACGTCAGTACTTTATACATTCGCATGCCTGAATGAGCATGACGTGGATGTCACTCATGCAGCTCGACTCTTTGGTGATGACACAGCCCCTGCGTGCAGACATCATAGCAGAGTTCTGTCTGGGTAGTCCCACTCTTGTCAGGGAGTATAGGCACAAAAGCTGTTGCTTTCCCATCCAAAAGCAAAGCAGCTCCATGCACCAGAGGCTCCCAGGGTTGAAGAGGGGGATGCGCACCCAACATTTTGACCTATACTTTCTTGACACTAATGATGCTTGGTAAGATTTCTCTCCCACCACATAAGCAAATTGTCCCTGGTGGCAAAGTGGTGTATCCTGAAACTTCGTAACGAGGACAGGGAAGCCCATAGCTCATTTTTCCCTTTGTGGACTTGTTTGCCACAATTTAGTGATTGTAGAGACCAAGTGTGAGTCAATCACCACAAAAGCATTCTGATATTATAATCCCACAGAAGTAATTTAAATGACCCACAACTATACGTGAGAAACTTTGCAGCTCTAAACTGGCTTTTGTTTTCTATATAAGTAGAAAAGTGATCTCTAAGTCAGTTATCAGTGACCCCAGAGGAGGTGCATCTTACAGGAGATCACGAGTCCAAGCTGGATGCCCAGGCTGCCCCAGGTGATCACCTGTGTCTTTCGTGTCTAATTTTCAGGTGTTTAAACTACATCCAGTGGCTTTGACCTGCCTGCTGGGAATCGCCAGCCCCAGACGCGAATTCTGCCCCTATGGAAACGTATGCCCCGTATTTTCTTAAGTGCATTCCGTACTCGGGAAGCCGAAGCGACCTCCTTCCCTAAAAATCACGACGGCGGGCGTACCTCTCAGCATAGTAAGCCTTACAGGCTGCTAACGGAGAGGCGGAAGGCGCCGGCGGACCCCTCCCAGGCACAGCTCCGCGGTGTCCCGGTCGGAGGGAGGCTCCGGTGTGCCCGGTGCCGGCGCAGGGCGGCTCGGGGCCGCCCGCACGGCGCCGCCATTGGCTGTCCCCGGCCGGCGGGGCCGGCGCAGCCGCGGGCGGGTGCGCGGAGAGGCGGCGGGGCGGGAGCGACCGGTAGCGCGCACACGCAGCGCCCCGACGGCAGCGGCGGGTGCGCGCGGGAGCTGGGCCCTCGGCGGGACGCCCGCGGTGTGTTCGACCCTTTGCCTTTTTCCCTTCTTTTAGTAGAGTTTTTCTGCGGTGTTTTTCTTCTTTTCCCCGTTCCCAGCCAGGACTGGGAGCAGGACCCGCGCCCCTGGAACTGCTATGCCAACTGAACTCCGCAGGGCCGTGAGAATGCACGCCATCTCCGACCTGCACTCCTCCCTCACCCTGCGGCTCCTTAACAAGGGGCCCGAGTACCTCCGCAGGCAGATGGAGGCCAGCAACCCCGGCAGGAGAAGTGCCGTGGAGAGGCTAGCAGCCGATAAGGCCAAGTACGTAAAAAGCCAGCGGGTAATCAGCACCACGCAGGAGCCCGTCATCGTGCTGAGCTCAGCCTCGGAGAGCGGCAGCGAGACCTGCTCGGTGGAGAGCCAGAAACCCAGCAGGGACTTCGGGAGAGGGAAGGGCGCGAAGCCGCTGGAGCTGTCGAAGGCGGTGTACGCCTGCCGGGCGCCCCTGCAGCACGCCCCCCCCATAGCCAGGCGCAGCACCCCCAGGAGGCAGATGCGGCCGGACTCCCTGGTGATTTACCGTCAGAAATGCGAGTTCGGGAGAGGTCAAAGCCAGGACAGCTCACGGGGGAGCTTGGTGAGGAGGATCTTCCAAGGGTCTGTAAAGGAGAAGCAGCTGGCTTCCCCTGAGATGCCCAGAGTCATGGAGGACACCGCAGCCACCGAGAGCAAAGAGACTCTCTCAGAGAAAGATAGTGACCGTGAGCTGAGCAACCATGGAGCGGAGCAAGCCATGACTATGAGCACTGAAACACCAGGGGTATGTACAAAAGAGCATGAGGGATCCTCAAAACTGAGTATACCTCCTGAGGAGGTCAAGGAGGTGAAGAGGAGAGGTCTCCATCGCTCCCAGTCGGACATCAGCTCTCGCTATTCCAAGTCTTTCTCCGAGTTTGATACATTTTTCAAGTACTGTGGCCTGGATCAGGAGGTCATCGAGGATCTCGGGAGAGAGAACTTCTCCGTGGTGTCCGACAACATCTCCTTCAAGATCCGCAGCATCAGTGTGGCAACGTCCGAAAGCGACTTCACTAGGCACAGCGGGGACGAGGGGCTCCTGGAGGATGAACTCACAGAGCAGGTCCCGAGCAGCACTTCTGTGATTGAGCGCAATGCTCGGATAATCAAATGGCTGTACACGTGTAAGAAAGCCAAGGAGGCTAACAAAATGATCCAGGAACTGGCATGATGGCTTCTTTCAGCATGCATTGCAGCCTCAAGGTGTGTGCAAAGCCTCACCCTGTTGATTTATGTATTTCTCTTTCCTCTTTAGCAAGCGGTTGGCTTTTCTTAGTTTATTTTAGTCTTTTCATGAAGACTAAAGGGAACTACTTTGTACACAAAGTGTTCCCATACAGGCTTTTTGCAAAGCAGAAATCTATGTTGTTACAAAATACAAACAAATACATGAGAGTCAGAGTCAGTGTCTATGAGGGATGTCTGGCTTTTGCAGATTCCTGCTTTGTAAATAGCTTGTTTTCTCCAATTTCTCCTATATTAAATGGTAGAATAAAAAGTTAGAAAAATGTTCAACCCTTAATTGCAGTTGCTTAGATAACAGACAGAACTGAAACTATTACTAATTAGGTGTACACTGTATTCATACTACACTGCTACAGTTTTTCTCTCCTTACTGTCCCTCACTGTTTCCCTTCCCCCTTACACATAGGCACCCCCAAGTATCAGGAAGGCAAAGCAGAGTCGGTGCTCCTGCTAGCAATCCTATTTCCTCTTCACCTTTCTGTTGGAACCATAAAAGTTTGCTCCAGGTGAAATGCTCCCTTGCATTCACAGGCTTTTGTTTTCTGTCCTGTTTGATTGTAGTGTATTTGGCTCCTCTGCAGTGGGTTTTGCTATGTGGTTTGGCACTGGTAGCTGGAAATCCGTTGTGATGTTTGCCTTGGTTAGAGGGGTACTTCAGTGCTTTAAACTAGAGATAATTATTACAAATATGTGGCATCTAGACTTGGAAATCAATTACTTCGCAGACAGAAGCAGAACAAATGTAGCCCTGGTGAAAGTCGATATCCTGGTTATAATAAAAGCGGTGTTTATTCTCCATCTGATTTCCTAAGAAAGAACTGTATTCATGGAGCTTTTGGTATTGATGATCTAGTCGATAACAGGTTTTTTCTCCTTCCAATATGTGAAGCCCTTAGGATAGGTACCACAACTTACAGTGTGGCATTTAAAAATTGCATAAGTAGGTCTTGATACGAAGGAGTACATGTATATTTTCTGACAGTTCGTAATTGGTGTGTAAGAAGAGCATTATTTAGTATAGATATTGCTGTTGACAGAGCTTGTGGGCCTTATGAACGTAGAGAAATAAGTAGTGCTTGAGCCTCTTTCCTGTATGGATGTGGGACTGTCACTTCTGATTCCTTTAATCTATATACAGCAAGAAACCATGTACTTACTTTGAATTGGTTTTAATTATGTGAAATTTGGATCACATTTAAAAATTGAATTTTTCTCAAATGCCTGTTTTCTTCCTGCAAGTTGAGGGAGGAGGAAGGGGAGGCAGGGAGAGCCATTTTCACACAAACATTTCAAGCCCTTGTAGATAAGAAAGGTTGTCAGGTATCCAGCTGAAAGCTTAAAGAAGTGCTGTTATGTAACAGATCCTTTCCCAGATTACCTTAGAGGGAAGACAGGGCTCTCCTGAAGTTAGTAATTTCTCCTTTCTCATCCTTCTTTGATAAAAGGCCAGGGAGAGTCACAAAACAAAACGATGCAGGTGGCAGTTTGTGAAGCTTGTTGCTCATTGCAGTTGCTGGCCTTGCTATACACGCAGGATGGGAGGCAGATTTCACCACAAGCAGAAACCATGCAACAAACCCAACCATATTTCCTTGAAGGAAACCAAAATAAAAGCCTGTTCACTCCTAAATGCCCTTGCTGGGGGTAGGATCCAGGGCCAGAACCACGGTTATCACCGCAGAGCCTGCTCAGGAGGGAGCAGTTGGCCCCGTTTCCCCATCCATTTGCACAGTGCTAAGCATTTCCAGTGCTGCAGCTGAGACAGGAGATGCTGGTGACCACCCCAGGGAGCATACAGTCTGCAGAGGAGGTGCTTCACCAGGGCATTTTTTGGGCAGAATTTAAGTTGAGAGTTGTTATCACCATGTGGTTGCAGAATGAGTCCTGTAGTTCTGATCAAAATGTTCATCTTTTCTTTCAGCCCTAGTTTCTTTGACAATGCAGCATCTAGTTAAGCATCCATGTGTTTTCACTTTATCCACATATTTGGCTCTGCTTAGTTTGCTTACTGTTTACTAATGGGAAGTGGACTCCTGTGCTGCATGAGGCAGCAATGTGCCTTGCTTTCCCAGGTACATCCTTGAAAGTTCCTCATTTTACACAGAGGCTTGAAAATTGTTGCACCATCTGTGGAAAAAAGGCAGAAACCTGTTTTCTAAAATGCAGCCTTCATTATGTGTAAAACGTCTTTCAAGAACTGCAGGGCTCTTACGGGCCAATGATCATTCCATTCATATTTTATGTTCTCCGTTTAATTTTTCATAAGCTCTCTGGGACCTGGTGAGGCACCGTGTAAATAAAACAGCTATTTGAAGGGTCAGGTTCCCTAACACGTTTCATCAGAGTGATGATTGCAGAGTCTGAGCATGGGTGGAGAGCTTCAGAAAACTGAGGTCCTCAGTGAGATGGGCATTGCTGCTTCTCAGTGGCATGTTGCCTGGATTAAAACTCTGCAGTTCAGCACCTCTGTCAGTCCCCCAAACTCTTAAGAAGGGGGCTCACTCTGTGTCCTTCTTCCCGGATTGAATCAAGATTATTCAGCCTTGAGTTTCTAGTGCCATTCTTATATGGATGTTCATTATTCAAGCGGAAATCTCCTGGCAGGGGAATTTACTATGTTGGCAATTGCCATAAGCAGCTGAATAAAAGCTTTAGAGTATCACTTTATGCTTGTCTGATGTGATAAATAATAAATGACACTATTTTTTCTCTTTCTTCAGAATGCTTGACTTGGAAGTCGAACAAAACCAGACACAGGAAGAAACTCTTCTCTCATCTAGCTCATGAATGCTTTGTCCAAGTTTAGTATTTTATTATTGCTTCCTACCCTCGCCCGCCTTCCTCTTACCACAAACACAGGAGCTTCTGAGAGCACAATGACAAGTAGAGATTGTGAACTGTGCTCCAGCAAGGCAGCAAGAAACGAAAGCTCCTGTAAAAGCAAAGCATGGCAGCAGCTGCCATCCACGGTTAACATTCAGCATCAGCTCACTGCCCCAGGATGCTCTTCCAGGCTGTGACAGAAGGTCTGTGTTGTGCATCCATCTCTTTCCAGCAATGAGTTTGTCAACAGGAATGGGGGGAGAAAGTGGGAATGAAGTGGCAATGACCTCTGGGTCAGGCACTTTCTTGCAGACAGACAGGCTCCACCCGGATGTTCAAAGGCTCTGTCTTGCCAGGGCTGTTTGACCAGGGCTCATTCTGACATCATTAGATGTTGTTTGGCTGGTGAGGACTAACTGTGGCAGCTTTATCTGGGATACTTGGCAAACATGTTGTAAGCTAAATCCCTGCCAAGCCTCTCTTTCTCTGAGAGTATTCAAGCCAAACTGGAGTACCTTGTATCTATTTAGTTTGTCTCACAACTTGCTCAAGCCAGCGGGGAGGAGAAGCCTTTAAAACCCTGCCCCAAATATTTTCAGGAGCATGTTTCCAAGAAACAGGTAGTTAAAAGTAAGGGAGTGTTTTGCATTGTTACTGCCTTGCTGCAAAACAGTACAATTCACATGTACACAGGCTCTTCCACTCTCTTTGCAATACGTTTTCAACTCTGACATTGCAAACATTGCAAGGTTTGGCAGGTTGTGGTTTAGCACATTTAATTTTATGCACCATGAGTGAGCAGTGTGCTTAGGAAACTGTATCCCAGGCTATGTATGGCCACACTTCTCTAGCATGGCTCTGATGGCTCTGGAGTACAGGCTGTGCTTAGGATGTGCAGGACTGCATCCCTGTGCTGCAAGGCAAGAAGTCATGTCAGGGCACAGCAGTGGCAGCTAAATGTCCTGGTAGAGTGGAATGCCCAGCATAAACAACACCTTGCTCACTATCATCAATAAAATGCTTCATTTGGACTGGCCAAGCTAAATGTGTTTTAAAAGCTGATAAAAAGTACTTCAGATCACCAGTGTAGTGAATGAGGCCTCTACAGTAACTCATGGAATTTGCTGGCTGTGCCTCAAACATTTACCTCAGTCTGTCATTGCTTGCTAAAAAATGTCTTGCACCAAAGCATTTCTTTGTGGACACTGCAGACCACACAAAAATGCAACACTCCCACACCCCCTGCCAAAAAAAATCCCAACAGTCAAAGCCAAATCCTTTCAGTTGCACCAATGCCCCTCTATGACAGCTGCACAGCTGGCATAGCAGTGACTTGACCTGAGAGTGCTGCAGAGGTTAAAAGTTTACTTTTTACGATCTGACTGTCAGATCAGCAGCAGGAGGAGTCCAGAAACACCAACTTTCATTCTCTGCATTCCTGCTTGCAGCATGGCAGCTCCCACCGCTGCCTCTCCTGACCCAAAACAGCTGCTGTCACAGCTGGGTGGATGCTGACCTCAACTGAGCACTCAAGCTGTGTTTCTGAAGTGTTTGCCACTCCTGGTAAATACATCTGGAGGAGCAGAAAGGGCAAGGGTGAGCATCAAAGATTAAAACATTGGTGGTAGGAGGAACCTACGACAATGTTGTGCACTGGAAGAGTTTGACCTTCAGGTGCTCATCATGCAGTGTAGTTGACATCAGTTAAATTCACAGCAAGACCATCTAGGCTCCATTTTTATATCTGTTAAATGTACTTGGCAGTTCTCAGTTACAGACATGGTCTGGGAATGCAGAGCATTTGTCTTCATTTTCTAGTGTTGTGTACTAAGGTCTACATATCTGCAGTTGTTGGGATGGATGGATAACAATTCCAGATAAAATAATTGTTGAACCTGCTTTCCACTTGGGAGAAAATTAAATAGTTTGCTTGAGTGAGCTTCTGGAAACTTAAAAGGAAGGTAGTACATAGGGATATGTTTATTAAATAATGAATTTTCTATGTATATTTGTTACATTATTATTAAAGGATGATTCTCAGAAAAGTCCAACCCAAGATGCTGCTAATGTGGTAAGATCTGTGCACCTAAGGTGCAGTTTTTTAAGGGATGAGGTCTAGGTTTATTAGTCAAGAATACAACTTGGCATATCTGTTCTTTTCATGATCACTTGGCAAAGTGCTGTACTACATTAATGTTCATATGCATTTGTCAGAGCTAAGGACTGTTTTCTTTGAAAATATGGATGACTGTAGAAAGCTCAGACTGCAAGAAAAATGTTTTGTGTTACAAATCACTGCCCTGCCACTGAAGAGTGTTATTTTCTTTTGTTTTCAAGAAAAAGTTTGTTTTCAATTTCAAACTTCTGTTTGTCTTTGCTCTTTTAGTTGAGCAGCTCCCAAAAGTTAAGATGAAAGATGTGTGGGTCGTGAGTTTTCAATGTTAGAAAGAAATAATGTTTAATTTGCTTGAAAGTACTGAGCATCAGCCTTTCTCAAAATTGATGGCGGTTTTATGGCAGAGGTCAGAAAAATCAGAACTGGCCCCATAATGAATATTTTTTAACCCCTCTTTTTGTCTTTATGAACAGGTCAAGTGTGGTTGCTGTGACTTTCCACACTGATGCATGGCAAAATTTCCCTGACTTTGTTCAAACTCCAGTAGGAACCCCGGTTTATCCCAGGTATCATTTACTTCAGAGACCATGTGGTCCCATCTAAGATCTTCCCCTGACAAGCGGTAGATTCCCTTTATTCAATAATAACCTCTGGGTAAGCCAGTAACCTACCTTTCCCAGTATGCCAGAACCAGCATAGATGACATCGACCATAGATGACAATCCTTCTTTCTCTGTACATCTTGGAAATGAATAGTTCAGTACTTTTTCCAAAGAGTAGGAGCTCTGGGTTTCACTCAGCTCCTGTTGGTGTTACATGTGAAGTCTTTTCCTTCCAGTCTTTTGGGAAACCTAAAACTGGGGCTGAGGGCAAAGGCAAGTCATAAATTGAATTATTTTGTTTGATTAGAATTACGTAAACTAAAACAGTCAAATGGAGTGCAAGCATGCAGTGCTAAGTGCTGTTTCTACCCAAGTGTTTCAGGGTGCTCCAGTGCTGTGATGAGGGCAATGTCCATGGCTGTACTGTAACAGGCAAAAGGTGCAAAGTCTGGGTTTTATGGCCTGGAAACAAGTATTTGCAATAAAGGCATCAGAGAGAGACTGTAATCTTTGCAATATATTGTAAATATTACTGTACAGAAATCTATAAGCAAGAAACAGATTGTTCTATAATACATATATTACTTTTCTAAGAGATATGAGTCCTTGTATTTGGTAAAATGGGCCAAACATTACACTGATGGGGATTAAGCAGAAACTTTCTCCTGGGAGCAGGTTGTGCCATAATTGCCTCCTGTGAAGTTTCTTACATCTGCTTTTGAATCCTTGGAAATGGAGTACTGGTCAGATCTGGTATGGATGTTTCTACGTTGCTATGTTTATATTCCTGTGAAAGAACCTGTGTGCTACTGAATGCATACAAATAAAGTTATCACTCTGAAAGTTCATGGTTTTTTTTTAAGTATACTTTTCTTTGCTGTCTCTATTAGGGTACTATTATTTTAAAGTTAGAATCTCGTTAGGAAATTAACTTCTCCGTGAGTGCAGCTGATACTAGACTGTAAACATCTGAAAGTGCAGTGCTTCCCTGGGCCATAGCCAGACCCATGACTGAGAGCTTAAGCAGGTAATCTTGTAAGGAGGTGGGATGATAACTGTTAGCTCGCGGTATCAGTAAATGTGAAATATGAAGCTAGGGCTGTTCCACAGTATTCTAATATTTTTCATCTCAGAATATGGCTGAAAAAATGGACAGTTTATTTCTGAAGGGTAGTGGTTCTTTTCCAGACTTCAGTATTATATTTGGTTTTACTCACTGTCAAAAGCTATAGTGTGCTGCAGGCAATACCCCATTCATCACAGCCAGTGTCCGAAGCAGCAGGGAGTTTGAAGATCTCCTTGGAAAAAAACATTATCTCCAGAATCTTATTAAAAAGCTGATGTTTGGCTGGATTCTATTCCAGGAAGAATTCAATATATGATGCTAATTCCCTGTGAGTGTACTTTGTGAAGAAAGCAGCAGAAATAATGGTTGCATACGGTGAGCTTTTACCACAGGCCAATGCACTCCAGTTGCATAACTATCATTTTGGTATGGTCTAACCTGCTCAGACACAAGTGTTTCACTGGCCAGCATTTGAACACAACTGGAAGTAGAGCTAACTGGTGCTTGCTGTGCAGATTAGGCTCTTCCACAGAAAAATAAGAGCAACTTTATCATCACTGACATGTAGCCTTCCCCACACAGGCCCTGATTAGAATCATAGAATAATTAGGGTTGGAAAGGACATTAAGATCATCTAGTTCCAACCCCCCTGCCGTGGGCAGGGACACCTTACGCTAAATCATGTCACCCAAGGCCTCATCCAACCTGGTCTTGAACACCACCAGGGATGGAGCATTCACAACCTCCCTGGGCAACTTATTCCAGTGCCTCACCACCTTTACAGTAAAGAACTTCTTCCTTATATCCAATCTAAACTTCCCCTGTTTAAGTTTTAACCCGTTACCCTTTGTCCTATCACTACAGTCTCTAATGAAGAGTCCCTCTCCAGCATCCCTATAGGCCCCCTTCAGATACTGGAAGGCTGCTAGGAGGTCTCCAAGCAGCCTTCTCTTCTCCAGGCTGAACAGCCCCAACTTCCTCAGCCTGTCTTCATACGGGAGGTGCTCCAGTCCCCTGATCATCCTCGTGGCCCTTCTCTGGACTTGTTCTAACAGTTCCATCTCCTTTTTATGTTGAGGACACCAGAAGTGCACACAATACTCCAAGTGAGGTCTCACTAGAGCAGAGTAGAGGGGCAGGATCACCTCCTTCGACCTGCTGGTCACGCTCCTTTTGATGCAGCCCAGGATACGGTTGGCTTTCTGGGCTGCAAGCGCACACTGAAGCTGGCTCATGTTCATTTTCTCATTGACCAGCACCCCCAAGTCCTTCTCTGCAGGGCTGCTCTGAATCTCTTCTCTGCCCAACCTGTAGCTGTGCCTGGGATTGCTCCCACCCAGGTGTAGGACCTTGCACTTGGCATGGTTAAACTTCATGAGGTTGGCATCAGCCCACCTCACAAGCGTGTCAAGGTCCCTCTGGATGGCATTCCTTCCCTCCAGCGTATCAACCGAACCACACAGCTTGGTGTCATCGGCAAACTTGCTGAGGGCGCACTCAATCCCACTGTCCATGTCAGCGACAAAGATGTTAAACAAGACCGGTCCCAACACTGATCCCTGAGGGATGCCACTCATTTACTGGTCTCCAGCCAGACACTGAGCCATTGACCACAACTCTTTGTGTGCAGCCATCCAGCCAGTTCTTTATCCACCGAGTGGTCCATCCATCAAATTGATGTCTCTCCAATTTAAAGACAAGGATGTTGTGTGGGACAGTGTTGAATGCTTTGCACAAGTCCAGGTAGATGACATCAACTGCTCTACCCCTGTCCATCAGTTCTGTAGCCCCATCGTAGAAGGCCACCAAATTGGTCAGGCAGGATTTCCCCTTAGTGAAGCCATGCTGGCTGTCACCAAGCACCTTGTTGTTTTTCATGTGCCTTAGCATGCCTTCCAGGAGAATCTGCTCCAAGATTTTGGCAGGCACAGAGGTGAGACTGACTGGTCTGTAATTCCCTGGGTCATCCATTTTCCCCTTCTTGACAATGGGGGTTATATTTCCCTTTTGCCAGTCGTTGGGAGCTTCACCTCACTGCCATGATTTCTCAACTATGATGGCCAGTGGCTTAGCAACTTCATTCACCAGCTCCTTCAGGACCTGCGGATGGATCTCATCAGGACCCATGGACCTGTGCACATGCAGATTTTTAAGATGGTCTCGAACCAGATCCTCTCCTACTGTGGGCGCAAGGTCTTCATTCTCACAGTCCCTGTGTCTGCCTTCCAAGACTTGGGTGGTGCGGTCAGAGCCTTTGCCAGTGAAGACTGAGGCAAAGAAGTCATTCAGAACCTCAGCCTTCTCCAAATCCTGTGTAGCCAGTTCTCTCGAGAGCTTCCTGAGGGGGCCTACGTTCTCCCTAGTCTGTTTTTTATTTGCTATGTACCTGTAGAATCCCTTCCTGTTATCTTTAATACCTCTAGCTAAGTTTAATTCTAACTGGGCCTTAGCTTTCC